TTAACAATCACAGCAATGCTGGTTAATTTTGTCTAATGAAACTGTAACTGTAAATTGCATTTTGATAGTCTTAACTTGTCTGTTTTTAACACACTGATCAGTGAAGGGTTATATTTGAGAACTTGGGTTGTTGCATCCTTTGTTTAGCGTTTCTGCTTATTGCCACTTTACATGTGACCTACGTTTGTCTAACTATATTTATAATCCTGAGTATTATAGGCTACATAGTAAGTCTGCAATCACACTTAATTAAAAGCACATTGTATTCCACTGTCTTAATAGTGTATTTTTCTGTATGCCTGGTTTTTCACTACTGATCCATAATCCAAGCCATATTTTTCTCTTTTACTACTTCTGAGTGGAGATGTTGAGACAAATCCAGGACCAGATAATAATCTAATTGCTATTTAACAACATCAACAATGTGAAAGTAGATTCATTAAACCACCTTGTTATCTCAAACAGTATGTGGCTAAGGAAAATGTGCACATTGTGGCCCTTTGCGAAACAGGCAATGTTACGGATGAAGATTTAAAATCCAAAACTTTTGACTTAAACAACTTTGGACCGCCTAAATTTTGTACAAACCATGGAAGAGTTAAGATACTTCTGAGTGGAGATGTTGAGACAAATCCAGAACCAGATAATAATCTAAACAACATCAACAGTGTGAAAGCAGATTCATTAAACCGCCTTGATTACGTAACTCCAAAGCTTTCATTTTTGCCGATGATACGTCACTTTATGATGCCTATGACAGAAAATCTGACATGCTATTGAATATAATTCAACCCCTCCAACAAGAACTGAATAATCTTAATCAATGGGCAACCACTTAGCGGATGCAATTTAAAGCCCAAAAAGTGCTGATCTTACCTTTTATGGTCAGCAGCTCAACCATCATTAATCTGAGGAAATGACCAAATACCAATGACAGATACCCATAAACACTTAGGTATAGTGTTAGATAAACACTTAAACTTCAATGCCCACATTGACCAACTGATTGACAAATTGACAACTTTATTGAGGCTACTGAAGGCTCTTAGTAAAAAGTTATCAAGCAAACATCTCAAAACAATTTACAATGCTTACTTCATACCCCACTTAGATTACTGTGCCATACTTTACAATAAAGCATCAGCTCCAAGCTCTCGAAAGACTGCATTATAGCACTGTGCAAAAAGCCAAATATAGTAGGGTATAAGTGGCAAACTATTTGTGAATATAGTTCAGTATGTCCTCACTATATTGTATTCGGTATGGGAAACAAACTATTCTTGCCTCAGAAGCGGAACATTTAGTATTGGTGGTATATACTCTACGATACTAAATATCGTTCGAACTTTTCTCCGATTATTCTTAAGAGCCAGGAATAGTAGGATATAAGTATATAGAAAAGATGAGTATAGTATGTATTACGTAATCCAAAAACAAACTATACGCCTCTTATACGCGAGGCTATATATTCTTTGATGTGCCTTAATTTGCTTGGAGTTAATCCTATTTTATTTTTCCATTAAGCGCTAATCACCCTATGCAGACAGAGCCTGTGGGAAATATTGGGTGCGGCGCAAATGAGCGGAGGGTGCGGAGCTAACGGTCATTTTTGAATTTAAAATTGGGATATTTCTGAAACTAAGCCGTTTTGGGACTTCAAATATACCAAGATATGTGTATTTGACACCAAATATCAATAAGATTGTGAAAATAGTAGTGCAATTCATTTTATAGCGACGCAGTATGCCTTAAACATTTCCCAGACCTATATATTTTGAGACTATCCTTTTAATACTGCGTCCCCAGCATTCATAAAAAATGGTGTTCAAGATACACTACCCATGCAAATTATTTTTGCATCTTGGAACCCAGGCAGTATCTGTGTGATTTTATAGAAATTCGGAAATGTTCTTCAGATATGAGCCCCTCTAAATATTGGGTGCGGAGCTACGTTTATGGAGCTGCTCCGCACCCAATATTTAGAGGGGGCTCATATCTGAAAAAATTTCCGAATTTTTATAAAATCACACAGATACTGCCTGGCTTCCAAGATGCAAAAATAATTTGTATAGATAGTGCACCTTGAACACCATTTTTTATGAATGCTGGGGACTCAGTATTAAAAGGATAATTTCAAAATATATAGGTCTGGGAAGGATTTAAGGCACACTGCGTCGCTATAGAATGAATTGCGCTACTATTTTCACAATTGTATTGATATTTGGTGTCAAATACACATATCTTGGTATATTTGAAGTCCCAAAACGGCTTAGTTTCAGAAATATCCCAAATTTAAATTCAAAAATAACCGTTAGCTCCGCACCCTCCGCTCATTTGCTCCGCACCCAATATTTCCCACAGACTCTGTCTGCATAGGGTGCTAATGTAAACAAATAAAATCATGCATTTCACTTAAAAAGCTAAATCAAACTTAATGTCTGAGATCTCATTAAAAATGTTATGATGTTAAAGTATATGATTTTAAATGAACTTTAAATGTATTTTAAAAATGTAAGTCAATACAAAAAGTGGAATGAAAAATTTGGGTATATTTCAAATATAAATCGGTAAATTATTTATTCTCCGTTTTGAGTAAAATAAGCGCATATTAATTTGAAGTTTGTTTTTAGTCTTACCCAAAATCAGCAGCAATTTCGGTGTAGTTAAAATTAAAATGAGGTAAAGCGTATCGTGATATCTTTGTTCTTTGTCAGTTTTAAAT